TCAGCCTCAAAAATCTTATCAGTGCACCCCTACTGAAGATATGTCAGCAAGAAAAGTCTAGGATATATAAAAGGTAACGTATCTGTTTATGGAGGAAGAGTTTGTCAGATTTGTACGACAGATCTGAACAACAGACTTGGCAAGGGTTTTAAATGTCACAACACTGACAACCTGTTAATCTATTGCACTGAGCCTTTTGCCCAAACAACTATATCCTGCTCTTCCTCTCCTTGGAGCGGTGGGGAACTTGTAGAAAACAAGGCAGAAATAAAATCAGCAAGGATTGTGTTATAGCAGGTTGGGGGGTGGTGTTTGTTATCTTGGTGGGGGTTCTACTTTTTTTTCTTCATTTGTTTACAGAGACTCTGAAATCATGCAGCAAAAGCAGAAGGCGGCTAATGAGAGGAAGTCTCTCCAGACCGGAGACAAATGAATGATACAGAGGGGACTTTAATCTACAGTGCATCAGTGAAGTTATGGGGCCTAAAAGATCAGATGTTTGTAATAGTGGCCAGCCATTAAATGGTTACGTTTATCTTATACTTGCAGATTTGTTAAGTTTGCAGTTAATTTTCTGGTTCGTATAGGCTGAGTTATCTGGGATATCTCTTCCAAAACTTTACTTCTTTGCATGCTTATGAGAGATAGTTGGTAGCAATAGCTTAACTGCAGCTTTCATTGTTAACAATGTTGGCTTCACTGAATAGTTTGTGTAACTATATGAAGTATTGAATCTGCAGTTAGACCATGTCATCCTCAACATGATTCTTGAAGTAAAACTTCCCTGCATTCTGAAGTGGAACAACTTTAAAACCAGTACCTTTGCATGGTACATTTAAACTGAACTGTAAAGGTCTAAACTGTAAATCTCATCTTAAATTATTTTTACAATAAAATGATGTTGCACGAAATATTGTCTTCATATGAATGAAATGGGTTACTAGATGGTCTTAAATCATCTTCTGAGCTTTGTTTCCTTTGGGAACAACTAAAGAATCGAGGGAAGGGATCCACTGCAAGTTGCTTTACAGAAATATACGTTTTGACTCCTTTCATGCAGTAAAAAGATCATATACCTGCATGTAAATTTCACTTGTTCAGACATTTTCCTGGCTAAAACATTACCATGCTTTCTCCAACCATAGTCTGCTGCCTTTATTGCTTAGCTATGAAGAGTTTTCCCATAAACTCTCAGGGAAAGACAAGCATTAGTGGTCAGTAATAAAATAGAAAGCCTTTTTCTAAACTTCTCTTGAATGAGAAGGTAGCCAACTGTATGCTTAACTTTTAGAATCTCAAGTCTAGCAACTTGTATTGATTAACATTGTACATCCTTGTTGGACCTGTTGTGCTAGATTATTATTTAAGCCAGTTAAATTTTATCATAGATGGAGGCAGTAGGCAGCTTTTAAAGCCTGTGCTACTGTGTAGATAAGCCAGAGTAACTGCCCCTGCCAGACAAAGGGCTGCAACTGCTGTGTGCACAGCCTTGCTTTTGAGAGCAGCCAGTGGGCTTTGAGTAATGCATTTAAAAAAAAAAAGGAAGAAGAGTAGCTGTTCCCTGGTTGCTTTAGAAGGCAAAGCAGGTGCTGACTCCATCCATTGACCTCTAGAGGCAGGTAACGTATCAACTGGTGCTTGCCCCATTAACCACCTAAAAAGGTGGTGCTATACGTCCCAGGCTTCCCCATACTTGTCAGGGTCCGGCCTCTACCCCTCCAGAAAAGCGCTTGGAGCCGGTTTATATCGTTCTGGCTCTGCACGAGAAGTTACTTCCCAGCTCCTGCCCCCGTACGATACGGCCCCTGGACAGGGGCAGCTAAGACCTAGCGGGACAAGGAGGCCCCTCCTCCGGCGCAGAAGCCCCGCTGACGACGGCCGCGACCTGCTTGCCCGGGGCTGTGCCAGGCGCTGCCCCGCCCCCTGCCTAGTGCTGTTACGGTTCCGCCTGCCCCCGGCCTTCCTGTTTGGGAAGCAGGAAGCGGCAGGTGGTTCCCGTTAAGCCCTGAGACAGCGCCCCGCGGCTGCCGGGAGGACGCGGCGCTTCCGAGCCTCAGCTCCGGCGCGTGGGCGTTTGCCTAGGCCGCAGCTGAGCCGACGTTGGGTGGTGGTTGCGCGCGGCGCGCTCGGCTCGGCTCGGCTCGGCTCATGGCTGCCGGCGGCGGGGCGGGGG